TGTGAGAATTAAGTTTCTGACGTATATCGGTATGACCAGACGAACTAGAAATCCAGAATTCAGCGCAGCGCAACATCCAGCACTTATGTATTCGAATTTGCGAATATGTACAGCATATAGAATACCAAAACACGAGAATAATGAATACAAGAATGAATAGAATATAAGTCATGTTCATCACAGTCTAATTACCAGAGCACTAACACAATGAAGGACTGAACAATCGATATTATTGTTTCCCAAAGTCGTGAAGATCGCAATACACGGAACCTGAGTATAGCATACAAGCTGACCAGTGGCCATTTCGTAGTATATTTGGGGTAGTTAGCAGGTTGATGTGATGAGGGAAACCAATGGGCGCCAAAAACGTAAAAGTCTTGACAATCCCACTGAGCCGGAGGAACTGTTTAAAATTTTAGAAATAAGCGCACCACGGATTGACTTCTAAAAGAAGTTTAGAGGTTCATATCGTTTTCCCCTAAGAGAAAATTGAATGTGTCCGAGATTTGTGTTCCTGATTACCTGTGGAGTTTAATGGTGCATAGGGTCCACGGAGCACATGGCGAACACCATGTAATTCACTAGAGGTTTCTGTATCCCCAATTATGGTTATTATGATGATTATTATGCGCCCTCAGTCCCTGCCTCTTGTCATTTTCAATGCTTTTGTCAAAGGCCGCAAGCTGATGCGCAGCTCCTCAATAATTTCAGTGGGTTCAACAGATATAGAAATGAAAAGTATTGGATTATATGGGTAAGCGTGAACTTAGGCAACTAGTAGGGAGTTGAGCTAATGTGACTAAGCTTTCGAGGAGGATGGCGGCCTGGCAAACACGCGGCTATCTCGAATGAAGAAAAGCTGTTCCTCCAAACGCCTCTGGAAAAGTACTTTTGGATTCCCACCTTATATTGAGGGAAAGAACTCTGGAAACATCAAAGTTTCGTCGTTTGTGCACGATTCACTACGGCAGTTTGGCAGCTGCAAACAACCCCAGTGACTGAAGGTCTACGCTGATAATGACAATGGTGCTCATTCCCATTTGATAAGAGGCACACGGTCAGGCATTATTATAATGGTACAGCAAGAAAAAACTCACGACTGATGTCAGTTGTGGGCACCGATGATTGCGGGGAAACAGGATAGTCATACAGATTGTGGGCATTATCCCACGCAGATACGGTCATGCCTAAACTGTCGCGATCAAAATGCGGCCGAGGGTGAGGGTACAGAAACAATTATTGGGTTTTTTTCTTATTTTTGGGGAAACTATCAAGTTTGATCAAGATCAAAACATTTTTACTTGAAGATTGTGGACAAAAACACAAAGAAGTGCAAACCTTAGGCATCCCGCCTGGCGCGTCAGAAACTGCAAATTGCTGGAAATAAGAAACCAGAGCGATTAATCCGGTGGGACGGTAATATTTCAGTTATCCGGCGATCAATTTTTACCAAAGCTGTAAACCATTGCTGAGGGGTGCGTCTTGGAAATACTGCGCTATTTTGAAAAAAAACATTTGCGAATGGAAGGAAACCTTTCACGCCAAAGTGCAGCATTTTGTCCCGTATCTGCTGAGACCAGAAATCACCCTAATCTGCCATCATTTTTTTCGTGACTTGTAATAATTATTCTCCTTTCCAAATTTTCAACGCACATATGACTGTAGGCTTGGTGCGCCACAACTGCAGAAGTGGATTCCCACGCGTTTGTTAAGGATTTGGTGGATGTACCCCTTTCATCCTTCGCGGCGTTTGGAAAAGCATTAAATGACTAAACGACGGATAACTATGTGGCATTTGTGCGTTCATACAACCAACGCCGTTTTCCATTACAAATGGGTGTACTACGAATGCAACATACGGCCTGCAAGACACGGAAATTCGAGGAGTCCGAAGAAGCTAGTAAGTATAGCGTGTTTTCTGATGAAAAACATTCGGCGAAGCACAAGCTGCTTAGTGCGATTTTGTTGAAGAAGACATGGAAGCACTCTCGCAGTCACTCTTTGTTATCTTGAACACAACCATAAAGTTTCCAAGTGTTTTACGATTGGATTTTGGTAAATCGACGGTTAACCGAAAGAGTTCGGGCGCCAGCAGGGCCCTGCTGAATGATTGAACGTCGTCGTGTGAAATGAGGCCGTTTTTGCTGATGAAATCAAAAAAGATCCTTAACACTCGGGGCACGCACAATCAGCGCCAAATGTATCGGCCAGTTGCGTCGAACGGGAGCTTTGTGGTTACCTTCTGTTGTGACAGATGATATGCTTCGGTCCTCGTGAAACTTTAGAAGAGCGGACGCATTATTTTGGTACATTCACGGGAAGTTCAGTAAAGCCAGATGTACTTCTCCAGGTGACTGCAGCTAATGTTGTTTTGACACCTTCCAGATGTAATAAATGTCGACAGAACGCACGCAACAAGTCGTTCTGTGTAAGCTTTCTAAAGCACCCAATATTTGGAATGCGGATACAAGCTGTATTCCTTCGTCACAACGGTCATGGGCGCCGGGCGTCCGGTGGCATATAACTTCATCGAGAGCAAACAGCTTGCCCCTATAGATGGGAATGTTTAGCTCCTTCAGAAACCTGATGATGGGGCAGTATCAAGTTAAAGCGGTGGTGCTCGATGACCTTGAAGATTCGCTCACTTAAACAAATCGCCAATTAGATAATTTGCATAATAATTCATTATGCACCATGAAGTGGGAACCCTAAAAATGTCATAGCTTTTGAGAAATCAGTTCCATCGTGCGAATAGTGAGAGGCTTCTTGAGGCTACGTGGCCCTGTACAGTTGGGTTTATGGTTTGAGAAAAGGCAGGTGAGCTGAGCGGAGTGGAAGGATTCGCAATACTGGTATACGGCAGCTGGGAAACCAGGAGCATGGTGTACATCGAAGCTGCGTAGACACCCTGGCAATACCGTTGGAGCAAAATGGGCGTAAAGAATCCCTGGGAACGTGAGTTGTTTCCAACACACATGTTAAAACGCGTCCCTTAAAGAAAATGCTTGACTTCGTAGCGGGCACAAAACGTGAGCCCGCCAAGATGGTTGAGTCCGGTCGAAACTTTAGACTAATTAGTAAGAACTCGCCAAAGGGGTGGTCTGGGCCAGAGAAAGAGCTTTCCATGGTTGCATGTAAAGGGAAATGTGGGCAATGGACGCGATCGAGGGTAGGGGAACAATTGTGGATACACTATGATACCGGATATGGCAGAGCTGAACCAGCCTTCGACGTATGCGCAACTTGCTGGCGAGGGACTCCATTCCACATGGATGGGTGTTTAGCAGAGTGCATCATATTTTTGGCAAGCAGGAAGTTTAAACGAAATGTATTGCTGCCTTTTGAACATATTGTAATTGATGGGTTGGTTGTAAGACGACGAGCCTAAAACTGTGCTGCTGAAATAGGTATTTTGAGGGAATTATTCATAAAAGCCCAGAGTGCAAGGAATTCCATTCCGATGCCACTCAGAGAGTGTTTATTCCCGGTTCAAAGAAGTGCAGGAGACCGAATGGCGCGCAGGACAATCACTTTCAGAATGTGCAGTGGAAGATCGAGGGTACATAGAAAAAATTTTGTGCACGTAGAACAAAGCACGGTCGTGGAGTTATGTGAATGAGAATCTCGAAGTTACTGGACAAGTGAATGTGAATACCGAAAAGTAGTCCAAAACAACAGACAGGTGAAATGATTCAGTCACCGGTTGGAAGTTGTTTCTTTGGGAGAATTTGGAAAACATTTGGACCATCAGCCGCTAAAATGATCTCAAATTAGTTTTATTACTGTCAAAGCCACATTTCACGCCGCCAACACCTACAGCATGTGAGAAGCAATGACTAACGGATGATCATTTTCGAACAAATTTGTGGATTCTAACCACGCGCTTGTCCGAGGTCCCCTTCCTCTTTATTTTCCAGGATATCGTAAGGTGGAAACAAACAGCATAGTAAGTAGTAGACCGCCAGAGCCATCCATACTTTCAGTTGCCTCACTGTCAGGTTTGAATTTTTGCTTCAGCGAGGTCCACGAATCTTTGCACCATACCGCGAAGTGTGCCCGTGGCATGGTACTGCTAGGTCCGCTGAATAACTGGATTTCAGGCAAATCGATGACTGAGGAGGTTCCATTTGGTCCCGAACAAGGGCTCCGATAATTAGAGAAGTTAAGCATGTGCAGTATTTTTCTGAAATACGGAGCGCCTCTGTCTGTGGTGCAGTGGTCCCTAGGCGACGTGTTTAGCGGGGCCCCTTCCTCTCAGTACGCCAACAATCAAAACTTCAAGTGTCAACCAGCTCTGATGAGTGAGTGACTTGATTTTAATGTGGCAGACGATGTCTTTGGTCCCGGCCAAGTTTCACTAGTTTGGTCAGGGGAAACTGTGGGGACATACTTCGCCACAGCGCAGTAGGTCGCTCTGTCGTGATGTTTGCCGCTTGACGAAATGTTCATAGAATACATGCAATTAACTGGCTTTGGCAAATCCTTCTAAAGGAGCTAACCCATGGCAAATGGATGTGTCTTCCACCTTTCTAACAACGGACTGTTTAGAAACTGAGCGTCTTTTCTTGTGGGCCGGGAATGGAAAATGATTAGTTCATTTCTATTGGTAAATGCTTCGGCGTGTTCAGTAGATAATGGGAAAGCAGCATCATGTGAATAGTTTTGCTTTGGATAAATTGACGGCATAAATAGGATTTCTAGGGTTTTTGTTCGGCTGTAATTTGCACCTATATCTGTGAAGCTGTTAACAAGCGTTTCCTTATCACACAACTTCCGTGTATTTTGATTTTAGGCACTCTCCGCCGACAGTCAATACATATTCCAACGTTTAGCTCATCGAGACGGTGCCGAACGATAGGCTTTCATCATTCCACAATAGTAGCATGCAGATTCCGCCACAACTTTGGAATACTGCGCCACAGGGGTCCACAACTTCCTCACTTCACGGCCCACTTGCTGGGTAGCTCGCAAACGGCCTATCCATGCACAACCCGGGGGAAAACTTTGGAGTTGTGAGCAACCTGCTGTTTTGGGAACGACACTAGATGCTCAGATGTGGGTACACTTTCCGACGGTCTCGGGCGTGCCATACAAAAGGTGCACCGATGCGGCGTGGTGCTTCGAAAACATCGTAACCTTTGCAAAATCATTTTTTGCCGGATACCGATGGGTGTTCAAATATATCAGTTATTGCCTAAAAGTCTAACGACAGCATAAATATCAGGTAAATCCTGGCTCAACAGAATGTGTAGTGATCAGGATGAACATTCGTGCACACCTGGTTGTCGTAAAAACAAGTAAGGTCCTTTTATATTTTCGACGGAAACTCAGTAACCCCTTTTTGATAGTTTTGTGAATTTGAAACCAATGAGAATTACATATCTTCGAATTGTTTTAGGATATCTGTCAGGATTTTAGCTACCTAATGTGGTGGAAAAATCTTATGAATTACCAGTGGTATCGTAGTAACGCGTTCCTAAAGATCTTCGCGGCCCACACTGATGTAGTTAGATTACATCTTAAGTTTGCAGGTGGCACCCCCATAAATAACTCACCGTTAACGTTAGGCACATCCTGACTTCAGCCTAGCTCCACTTCACTGGTGATGACGTACCGCCAAGCGCGGTTGGACAGGTGTTGTTGAACATTCAAGTAATCACTTGTGCTCCTGACGATGATTGTCGTCCATCTATTTGCCTTTGTGATCATGGTATTGCCTGCATTTATTAGCGGCCGTTTATGCGTCAGTTGGAGCACATGACTTTTAGGCCATCAGCGCTGCCAACAGCCAAAGTGTCAGTTTCATCGATTCCGCCGATGGAATTTTTGAAACATAGTCAGTGCTAGGATTTGTTCTCCTTGATCTTTCGTCCATCCTGATCCCTGCAACTTCCGACCGGTGCTTGAGACTTTGCCAAACTTTCCACCGTTCAAAGATGTCCTTCATTGGTACACTCGCAGCGGACGTAAGCTGCTTTGCTTGATTTCTAACACAAACCCGAGCACAAGCACTCGGGTATTTTTGTGTTTCTGAAACTAGCTAGGTTTTACGCGCATTTCCATGTTTCTGAGTTTTTATAAGTTGCTAAGTTACCAGTCTGTGTTAACCAGTCCTAGAACTAAACAAAAGCAATGACCGTCCTGTATTCCTTGGTGATGGTCGTTCTGTTGGAATTACGAGCTCCTGAAATATCTGTCAGATGACAGAGCTAATGAAAAGCCTATAGATATCCATTTCAAGTACTTTATTGGTAACGGAAGACGTTTTCTTCACCCCTTTTTTGAGGTATCTCACTGGCTATTCAGGTGGCTTCGGATTAAAACCAACAATTGATCGAAATCCGCCAACGACTTACCAGCTCTTCCATTCTTTTGAGAACGTGGCCAGCTCAATAAGTCAACAGTCTAATGGATGTTCAAAGATTACACTCGTGATATTTGTACTTCGTATGAACGAGACATTGTGGCGTTTTGTACCTTTATTCTACTTCCATTATAACCCTACGTATTTCGCCAGCTGCATAATCGTTTTTTGTTTGAATACGAAAAACTACAAAAAACTACAAACGTGGTCACGTGCTTCGACTCTCTCTTCTGGTTTCGCTCGCGCTTGCAGCGGTTATTCGCGAGTCTCATGTACTAACTCTGGTATCAAAACATTTTAGACCATCCTCGGAACCTATTATATGTGGGAACTGTTCAGAAGAGACCCCCGAACCACCATAATTGGACTACTGTTTATTCGCTGACCTGGGTCAACGACGAACTATTTTTAAGAGAACAATCTTTAGTGAGTCTGTTCCATCTGACCTCTTTATTATTGCCACACACTCCTGATAAACTAACTTATTGGGTATCCAGACCACCACAACATTCAGGAGCTAATTGCCAAGTGGGGCCGTGACTAATTAAGTCAATAATGAATGCTGTTTGACAATTTACAGTGAAACTATATATAAATATAAATTACCTTGTAGAGAAAACCACTCAGAAGGTTGCTGAAAACTCTTCCCGGCCCACTACCGGCTTTCCCTTCTTGGGGCTCATCAACAGCTAGGCGCAGCCCACGAGTTTTCGTCAACCTCATGCTTTACTTGAACCTCACTTTACACGATGACTTCTGATCGAAGGATTTCGCCACAAGCTGCGATTCACATTTGTCGCATTTCACCCCAGTTCACTTAAGAAAGGCTGATCGGCACATCATTGGGCGGTCACTGACCGCAGCAGCTCCGCAGTTCCAGCTGACTACCCTGATGGAGGTTTTGATGCCATTTGATGGTATTGGTAGGCTTCGTCCTAGATATATTGAACGAAATTAAACAAAATTATCTAGTATTACTAGACAATTAAGTAGAGGTGTTTGAGACAACAGCTATTTGACATGGTGAGCGACTAGGAACATTAACTCCCTCTCGGACTGCGTTGCTCCTATGATACCTCGCATGTAACACAAACCAGCTATTTTTAGCCCCGATATTTCATTACACTTATGTTCCATATAAACGCCAAATTGTAAGAAACTATTAAACTACCTCCATTTGAAAACTGCGCTGACGTTAACGAGAGATTTAACTGATATTCTCCAGCTGAATGTTTTGCAAAATGGCCGCCACAAATTTCAGTGACACATTATTTGAGATATGGAAGTACACTACCTTGATGACACACTACATAAAGAGCCCCAAGGAGGGCAACTCAGGCTGTGGGTTGTCAAAGATTTTTCGGCAAACTAGTGAGTAGTGTGCCCAATAAAGATGAATCTATCTTCTTATACTGAATTGCATCGGGTGGCGGATTACTGTGTAAGGACTGCAAAGCAAATGGTGCGGTCTCTTTTGCTTGTGTGCTGGCCAGCGGACACTTATCACTAGTTTGTAATGAGGGTCACTGAGAAGGTCATGTCTAGACCAACACTCGGGATGCCGTTCCATTTTGAGCACTTGTGAGCAATCGTCACCATAGTAGAATGCCAAATGCAGTGAGTTGTCACGTGGCTTGTGACAGTGACGATAGGTTTGAGTCATTCTGGCTTCATTTTTTGAAGACATTCTGGTTACAATAACTGGCTGTTCGGATATGTGCTTTGGAAAAATCCCAAGTCCCTGCTGATCTGCAGGAAACTTTCGGTATGGTATACGTGAAGTCTTAACCCTATGAAATTGAAAAAAGAAACCTGCTGATTTCTCTAAACATATGTCTACAGCACATGCCAGATAGAAATATCCAGTGCGTGACACTCCGTATTGGATCTTGGAACGCAAATTTTGTTAGCTAATTTTCCTGCAAAACAAAAGTTTAGTCCTATAACCCAGGTTATTTTTACATCTTTTAACGATGAAGCAACACGCGTAAGGGATTTTAGAGAGTTCTCAGCAGTGTACTTGAATACCATCATGTAGGAATTCAAACCCGGGTCGTCGAAAGTTGGTCCTTGATGTTAACTACTAAGCTACCCACCTTTAATGGATTGTGCTTTTGTTATATGTGTGAAAGAAATCTTAGCTGAAGTCCTTTGAAAACAGCTTGTGAAGAAGGACCACCATGAGGGAAACTCTTACATCAGGTGTGACAAACGCTCTAGACAGGTCTTCGCATTCCAATATTATGGAGTATTTTGTAGTTGATAGTATGAAGCAACTTAAAATCTTTCCACTGGGATTTATTTCCATGAGTACAACCAATTATTGTTGAAAAGTGGAGGAGAACTTCATTCCCACTGGAAGTTATCAGCGGTCGGCATCTCCTGAAACTCCGGGGAGTTTAGAATCCTTACCCTCTCCCAGGGCTGTCAATGACCCGGGCAAAGACGGCTGATCAGCAGTGCGACAAACTCACACTTAGTAAATCACTCGCTCGATCACGGAATCCACATCACTTGGTTACGTCCTGACTGGCTAGTCCAGTGACGACTTCTCCGATGGAGTCCTTAACCCACTTGTGAAGTTGTTCTTACCTCAAGCTACTTGTTGGTTGTTAGTAGCGTGATAAGATTTGGAAATTCTCATCACACCTATGTCAGGCTCTCAAAGCACCGTTTCACAATTGGCTGATATAGGTCCACTTGTGGAGTGGATTCACGCTCTCACTGCCTGTTACACCATTTACGATAATCCACCATGGCAAGTCACCATGATCACAAATACTTATTCTTGAAAGAACCTGACCATCAGCTTTTCCATAAAATCTTAGAAAGCTACAAGCCCACCTTCAGGTTTTCAATGGGCGCAAAATTGTGCTCGGCAAGCAGTGGGCAGTAGACCAACTTTTCTGCTTCACTGGATTACCTGCACTCTAGAGATTAGGAACTACTTCGTTAACTCGGAAGGCACTGGCTCCAATTCAGTAGGGTTGAACTGACCTTGACGTGCTTGTTCTGTTACCGTTAGCTTTGTGGTTCACCTTCCAAAGCCATTAAGTAACGAAAAGTCCCTCAACCGTGATAGATGCAATAAAATCAAATAACTCCACTTTTCACATGTACGCATATGTACGCATATGTACGCATATGTACGCACGAACTATAAACTGTGAACAACCTACAGTAGTTCTGCGTTTGTCAAATTTCCACTCGTTCATGTATGCCCGCGTATGACAGGGAATGCTGAACATCTGCAACTGTCTGTTCGAGAGGATTTCGACACCCGACCAGTCTCTAGGACAACATAAGCTTAAAAGCTTCATAAACGAGAGATTCAGCTGCGTTCCAGATGAGTCTCCTGTCAAAACCGAAGTGCTCAGCAAGTGAGCACATATCGCCAAATTCAAGTAGAATATAAGGTTGACGGAAACTCGGGGACTGCGCCTGCCTTATGAGACTCAAGAAGGGTGAGACCGATCGTTGGTTATCGAAGAGTTTTCAGCGACCTCACGAGGAGTGTATTGCGTCTATACAACATAGTCTTCTTCAAATAACCAAAACAAATGTTGCACTGATGTGAAACAGTCCTTTTAGATTAACGTGTTCATGAACTTCAGCACCGCGAACTCAGTCGTCCAACCTATCCACACATGGTTATGCAGTAATATGTACTGGGTTGTAGAGATTTGTAATGCTTTTTGTGGAAATTGCTAATCTATTTTTGGTGTATCCAACCTTTAAGTGGCTTTATCAAAAACTCTTCAATGAACTAGAACTATAGGTTTGTGACGAATCACATGGTCTGTAAAAGGATCTATGCCTTCTATTGTCCAGTTAACCACTTGTAAACCAGTCGTAAAGCGATTGTATATAAGGTACCAGCGGACGTAGCCGTAACAAAATTTAATAAACCTGTGAACTCTCCCAGACAGCCATCACTGGAGTGTACAACCAAACCCAATCTTGTGACTAATCATTGGTCCACGTAACATGCACAATTTCTCTCAAGTTGACGAAAATGTGCCAGAACCCATCGTCTGTTTGAAGCTGAGCATAGGCGAAGATTCATACGTCTTCAGGTTGGTTCAGTAAAGAAACATATGAAAATAATCGCTACATTTTTCAACCCAGCGATTGCCGTCATCCCGGATGCAATGTACGATGAGGACCTATGTCAATGTGCAACACTATTGGTACTTATCCAACGGACACAAAGCGGAGCTCTCACCACATATGCAACGATGACTTTGGAATTGACATTGCAGCAAGTGTGCTGGAAAAAGGGGCTTAATGGATTTTTGGAGAAACTCTCGTGAATAAATGGGAATTCGAGTTTGAGGCACACTCAAGGTGACACACATTTTACTTATCTTGTCAAGAATTTGTTTCTTTTTTTGGGAGATTTCCAAAATACTGGTTATGCTTTGGACCGTACTCGTGCCCTGGAGAGATGTCTTTGATTAGTCTGCACTTCAGCTACCCACGGGAAACTTTGTTGTCGCCCGTCCTTCACTATGGTATGACCAACGACATTGACGTTATGTTGCAGTGTAGAGCTGATCCTTAGCTACGTTGTCACGGATAAATCATAGAGAGGAGGAGCGTTCGGTTTCTGCTTTAGTGTAACAATCCTACGTCTGTCCTTTATGTGCGCCGCAACTTTTCAACCGAGGCACAATTTTTACATTCCGTTATTGGTGAACGAGGACTACGAATTCATGGCAACATATGGAATTTCTCAACACACACGAACTCCATTGTAATGATTGATAAATCAGCCGCCGCCTGTTGTTTACATATGCAACGTTGTCACAGTTGACTTATTCGCAGTCGGCAGATTTTATTCACATTTCTTCTTTTATTACAGGCTGTTACACCGTCAGCTGGGTACACGAAGCACACTCAGTCGCTCATTGTTATCGTGATGCTCCCCACACACACGTGGTTACGGACAACAATTCGTTAGTCAGTTTTTGCAGATTTTGGGGCTAAACCTTCTGGTCCGTCTATCCTTTCAGGAAATCACTACCGCCACTTCCACAAACATGAGGTCACTGACCGCTAGTCACTAGACATTTTGATGCTTGCATATCTCTTCTGTGGTGAACAACGGGAGTGTCTTCAATGACCGTCTGATTACACAATTAATCTTATTGTGTTAGTGCACTGGCCTTCTTCAGCCTGCAATCTAATGATCATCCTAATATGGTCTAATCTTAAGGAACTGGGTTTCAGTGGGTGTCATCCGTAGGCCCGCTGCAACGTAGACCTGCCACAAAGACAAGATCGAGCATTAGGTCCAATCCTGAAAAGAGTCGAGATTCCCACTGTGGCCAAAGGGGATCTTTTACAGATAAGCCCCGCCCAAAAATCAACCACCGCCAACCAAAAAAGTTCAGAAAAAAGAGGATGTGAAATTTAAACTTTTCGTTTTTATTGAAGAGGGTCAAATTGAGATATATCATTGAAAATTTGCTTGAAAAGGTTCGTTTTTCGGTACCTTTGTCTCCACATTGACGTTTATTCTGCATCTTGTAGACGTGCCAGAGAGATTCGCTGGTTTGTGTGTGAGCTCCAGTCGTTGGATCGACAAAGTTTTCGGTATGATTAACCGTTTCATGAGTATAATTCATGTCAATGGTCGTTTCAATTCCTTGGTATGATGCCCACATATCGGAGATGATGATTTAGCCGGGAACGATGCAGGCCTGGATTGTGTCCATCAAAGTGGCCGCAGTTCGATCTGGCACTGCATTCATGAACACCTCTCTAGTCTTCCGGCAGATCCCTTCGAAAATTCACTGCTGAGGAAGGACTCGCCCTGCGTGGTTTTTACGGCAAGATATTACCGTTTCATCGATCTCGACGTGTAGACCTGGGCCGCCAATGACTGTTGGAGTCTACAAAAGCCGCCAGACGCAAACTTCGCGAAGAAAGTTCTTCCAGTCAACAGCGGTCGTGTGGCTAATAGATAATTCCTCTGAGCGGAATTCATTTTTCGCCAAATTTTTGGACCAGTAATAAATGAATAGAGTTACCGTCCTGAACTCCATCCTAGACCGCTCCAACTAAGCTCCCTTTCGAAGACTGATTTCTTGCCGACATTGTCGGGCATTACACCTCATCATTAGTAAGCATATGTTACCTTTAAATTATTGCCTAATCGGCTGGCTGACAAGCGCTCGTGAGTACATTTGTGATTGGATAAAAGTGACACGAGCTAAAACCCATTTGGATGGATGGATGATGTGGGCACCTGAATGGCAGAACATCTTTTGTACCCATTGTTCGCTTTCAGGCTATCTTACCGAAACCGACCAGTGGCTAGCACTTTTGTCCGCAGATCTCATTCCTATGCTCCGGTATAAAAGTCTTCCACCGTTCAGACGTTCGTTGGTCTAACCAATTTTGTTTGACAAATTTGCAATAGATCTTTGCTGGATGTAAGCCAGCTCATACTGTGCATCGAACGACCTCCTGTTTCTAGATCTTCAAAATCAACGATGGAACAGATTGTTGTTTTTTCCGAACGGCACGTAGTTCCTCTTTGTAAAGTACCACGCAGCTTTTTTTTCTGCTAAAACCCACATACTCATCGAACCAAAGAAGGGCTTTGAGTATCGATCAGTGAATTTTGTGGTCACCCGATAACACTGCTGTGTGTAGGACCATATGTCCCAGGTTTACACGAAAAGTGTTTTGAGTATGCACGAACTACTTTGAACCCTTTTGTCGTAGAACACACAAAATCTAATTAAATTTGATGAATGTCCATTGCTAATCGCCGCAAGAGCTATACCAATAACCATCAGACAGTATGCATTCGGCAGCTTTCCGAAGTACTTATCTCTCAGGCGTTCCTTCAAAAAGACTCTGAGATGGAACAGGAGTGTAATTACCGGTTAGGTCCAGCACTGTGTTGTCGTTCCACTTTAAGACGTTGTATGCGGAGGGTATCGCGTCGATGGAGGAGGCGTAGCTCAGTTCGAGTGTAGAGACTCGTGCTGGTCATTTTTTAACTAATTCACCAAAACAGGAGGACGAGGTTGTTAAAAGGTCCTCGTTGACCAAGAACACTAACCCTAACCATAGTTTGGTTTGCTCATACTGATTACGGTGTCTGGCTGCACACAGTGTAATTATGTACATCCAGGAAGTGCACGGTTATGTTGATCTCCGAAGCACTTGTTGAAAGGTCAAGCCTAGACAAGTCGGTCTGCACTGGACTGGATTCGCAATGACGAGCCGTGATCACAGGTTTACTTCTTCGGCATACACCTAGCCATTGCATTGCACCTAGACATTCTTATGTGTTCCGAGGGGTTCAACTGCATCGAGGTGATTCGTAGCAGCCGACCGCTACACGAGAATAGTTTGTTAAGCGGATTGACAAACGAGTCACATGTACAGCGCGTTCCATCAAGAATGCCTACAGCTAACCAGAGGCATTTCCGGTGAAAAAGCCCTCTGAACAGATCACAAGAAATGGATGGACAGTTCAGGCATACAATTCGACTGATTCCTCGTTGTTTTCCAATAAACGAGCCTCTAAAGTCCCTAGAATGTGACTACTGTGACGAGACTAGAGTGCTTAAGCCTTTTACGGAGCGTTGTCTCCGTTTTCTTTTTAAATGTTGTCCCAGTGCACCGCGTCCGCCAACTATGAAATGCGCATTCCAGCAATAACCCGATTTTTCAGACTGAGCTTTACGTTGGACTTTACTACCCGCATTGACGGGATGCGGGTCAATACAAGTCATCGTATTTTTACAACAAACAGCAGGACCCAGCGGTGTGTGATAGTCCTGGACTTGCATCGATAAGCTTATCTTTTGTGTAGCGGTTTAAAAAAAAATACCGGAACCCACTTCATTGAATAGCCTCAACTACACCTCTTGTTACCGTGTGGTGAGTCGGCAATTCAAACACACTAGCTCATGCAACGGTTGATACAGATTTGCATGAAGAGGTCGATCGATTGTCCCAAATCTCGTACGTGGCGGATGTGCGCTTGTGTGTGATATGACCAGAAAAATGGCTTTTGAGTCTTGGTTACTAACTACGGAGAGAATCATCCTTCTATATTGATTGAGCGCTCTGTTTCTGAGACTTGTGTTGGTTCCTGTTAATAATACGCGGTAGAATTCGTTTCCCATGCTTCACTTAGTTCGTCATGAGGATTAAATTGAAGTATTTTGCAAACGGCTGCTAATGTCACGCTGTACAATGGAGGGGGCGTTACTACTGTGCCCTGAGGTCAACACCACTCGTGGTCGATTGTTTCTTGGTGATTCATCTAATAAGCCGTAAGTGTTATCATTAGTCACGGTTAGACTGATCGGAGCAACGGCATTTGAAGTGAAACAATTGCTTCTTATCCGTTTAATTACGGATTATTGGTATTGAGTGCGCATAAAGCATCTTTGTGTTTCATTTTCTCTCAGTAACTGATACTAATCACTATTTAAGGCCATTTGGAAGCCTATCTTATTTCTGAGGCTTTCATACACTCGTCATGAGAATTTGATTGGAGGTATTCGATAAATCATTTGGTACGAAAATTTCTGTGCAACAGTTATACGAATTTTGATTGATTTTGATTCATCTCTGAACTTGAACTGGCCTACGAAACATCCGGTCCCACAATTCTGTCTGACATTGACATCACTTACCTGATTCCGTGACCCATTGACCCATCCCTAGTCCAACCCCCTTCCTTTGATTTCTATTTCTCTAAAGTGTATGTAGCCCGATCTTAACCTTTTCCACGTTATTCCTGCTACCATATAAAATTGTGATGTATTAGCCAAGAGGAACAATCACAGAAAACAAGCTTTTTCGCTACCTTCTTCGTTCTCATGACTACCACGGGTATATTCAGTCACTTGAGACACCTCCTTCTCATTTAATGAATACTACTTATTTATTTAGCTGAGTTTATTCATGTTTTGGGTTTACCCAGCATCTCGCGTTCTGCTGGGTTCAACTCCTTCAAAGCTTTCAACCATTTGAAATAATCTGAAAATCCTGCCACACAGTTTGGTATGCCCGCAAAGGGTGAATTGCTGTTAAATAACTGCATGGAAACAGCCGTGCTTGCAGACGAGCAAGTTGCTGTGGTAGTTTAGGGATCTTTCCACGAATCAGTTAGACTGGAGCCATTTTTGTGATTTTTGACGCTTGTGGCGCCTGTCTGACCTGAGTTTCTGTTTCAAGGATGGAGTACATACTGTGACAGTGCGATTCATGCCGCTTGTGGACCAGAAACATGGGTTGTACTTGCAGAAGATGTTAGAAAACCCTCAATGCCTGACCATAGGTGTCTCCTAACAATCGACTGAGCCGGGTTACGCAAGAATGGACGAATCAGGCCTCACAGGATGCACTGCCTACAACGTATTTCCTGTGTCTTAGGGTTGTCTACCTTTTGCCCAGTTGTGTGCTTAATGTAAACGACCGGGAGATGGTTGATGTATGACCTACCAACGAATTATGAGAACACTAATGAGTTGACTTAGTAGGATGTACAGTTTCCGACTTCAATGCCTAGCTCGCCCGTTTCATACTGCAATTCAGCCCCAATGCTGAGGTCAACACACTCCCGGTAAGTGGTTTTTATCAGATAAAATGAACTGAAATGAACTGAATGTTCTAAGAGCCTTTACTATTCGCGAAAATCATTCTACAAGCAAATAAAGAGATGATCCAAATTCACTCATTTGAAAATTACCTGGTTGATAATGCAGAGTCGAATGAATCTTCCATTCACAGCATTCTACAACTAAGTGTGCCATACGATAATCGTCTCCTGTTTCATTTATCACAATATTGGAGATACCGAAATAGATTCGCTTGACTTAACGTACAGTTTATAAGGTTACTGAAAAACTGTGGACAGTTCACAACCGGCACTGCCCATCTTGGAGCTCATCAGATAGCATGTTTTTTGTCGAGAAATTAGTCTTTCAAGAATATGGTGCCAACTGAAAAATAAGACGGCCCTTCATAAAGGGAACTACTCACAAGGTTGCTGAAAGCTGTTCGACGGACTTTATCTGCCCTATTCAGCTGAATCTCAAGAACTTGACACTTTGCATACCACCGCCCACTTATGGTGCAATAATTCAATATGGTCGTTGGCTCGTTAGCTGAACTGGGCAATTCGATTGCAACGTCTCATCGCCAATCGGGGTGACATCATCAGTGCGTTATTGGGGAGCGTAGTGGTGCGTAGCGGTGGGTTACGCTACCTGAGCTACCAACATTTTCCTCTATGAAAATAATTCAGTATGCTCGCAAGCTTTTGGAACGTCACCTTAACCTAAGGACATGTGTCTCAGGTTGGAGAACAGGAGGTGGGTAGTGGTATCGCAGGTAACCAAAAGTTTCTAGACTGGGCATCAGGAGAAACCCCAATGGTCCATTACCCCATGATGTGTTGTATCAGCGAATACGCTGGCCACCTTGTTCAGCTGAAGGATGCATTGGAAGTTGTCGGTTACCCCATGATTTTTTGTATCAGCGAACACGCTGGTCACCTTGTTCAGCTGAAGGATGCATTGGAAGTATCATTTGCGTCACGTGTTACTTAAGAGACAAGCGACTCCGTATACCAGTCCAAGAAAGGTTTCATGTTCGTTTATCAAACTAAATAATATACCTTACTTTTTTTCATTACTGTTCTGAAGGGCCTTAGGTGGACATCCGGTAAACGCTTAGCAGTAGTACTTTGGAAAAATAGGTTATTTTTTTCGCAATACGGAGGAAACTCGATGTGGAGGAGAAACAAATAAAGGTAGTTTCAGATACAGAGTGGCTCGATAAAGCCATTGATTTTGTCCGACTTCGCAGTGTGACCATCAAACGGATCTCTGTGTGGTGAGTTTCACGCCACTGTGTTTCAAGTGAATATTCTAAACACAAAATAGAAAAGTAGGTGAGCTTGAAAGCACCAAAGACTGGAGGTGATGAAATTCAGGTGTAAAATCAGTCCACCATACGGACGGATGGCATGGTGGAGAGGAAAATGATGAATGATCCGAAGAGTGAGATTGCTCAGGTAACCCGTTGGTTAACACCCTTCTTTTTCAATGCGGGTACTCAAATCCCCGCGTATGTGAATTTATTCATACTGACCGCTTTCAAAGTTTGTTGCATCAATAAGATCACAAAAATACCTTTCCGATATTATTTATTCCCCAGAGGGTTGTGGTTTGCCTTAGCACAAAGGAATTCGTCCTTTGGTAGAGTTGTTGTGTACCCAGATCTGTTAATAAGCTCTAACCGCGGATGGAATCGTTGCTGGGTCACTGTATCTGACTTGGAAACAACTTAGCTTGCACTAGCATAGAAGTAGTCACACACGCTAGAGTTGACGACGAATAGTAACACTACTTGTAGTGTAGTTGGACGAGGTAGGAGTTCAGTCCATTCTTTTATTGGCAGTATGCCGCTAGCATAGTACAAGTAAAAAAAAATGCAAGGCGTGCAAATTTAGTGGCCATTGAATCTTCTAATCTAATGTGTAGCCAGCGAACCAGCCACTTTTAGGACACTGGCCAACATTAAAGTGTTGGCGTGTCTGCTTGCTTCATGCCACCCGATGAAGGTAAGTCAAATTCTAACTTGTTTAAGCTACAGAAATTGTCATTTCAGGCTTATGCTTCGAAATGCGTCAGGTGCATTTGACCCCGTTTTGTTTCCATCGCTTCTGTCTTGGTGTACATAAACGCGGTATTTTTGTACTTGCTTTTGTCAGGCAGCTGACGGATGGTTAATCATGACTTAGGTCGACTACTGAACATGATTTGGTCTTGTGGTCACCGCGGTCAGAAAATTAATACTGTTCAAACGGATGGGGTGGCAGTGGGAGGGGGTGGTGGGGGTAACAGAATCACGTGGCTAGTTGTCAACCTGACGACCTAGTGGAGAGACCACGCATCAGCGCGTGGCGATCAATATTACCCAGAGAGTGCTGGAGTGCATACATACACCTCAATGGTCGAGATGACTAGCTACTTTCATACAGGGGTGGAACGATGTCGCACGCTTGAAAGCATGTGAATCAGTCGTCTCACGAGAAGCAAATTGTGCTTCTACCAAGAGGGAAGATAGCGGTAGTGCACCTGGCCTAACCCGGAATGCTGTTAAACTGAGTGGCTACTTGTTACTATGCCCATCTTAAGAATCCTTGCTGAGGTAAACTGTATGAGCAGGGTACAAGTCTCTCCTCTAACATGTTCTCCACATCTAAGTTGTCGAATAGAGGTCCCAGCAGAAAGCTGGGACCAAGCTGGGAACAAGCTAAGTGGCTTCCGATCAGAGACAAAGTGCAACACGAACAAGCATTGAACTTGTATTGGCTGGATGCACTACAAAATCAACCTCGTGTTCTTTTAAGCCTTATTACCACTAAGGCTCAGTATCATTGTTTTTCTGCTCTAACCGTTTGTTGAATTTGAAAGGAAGTTAACTTAATAAGACGAAAATGCACATTTACTTGCGTAAGGGTAAGCAAATAAATTTTGTCGTTCACAAAAGTCATGGATCCTTGAGTCATTCAAAGTTCACTTACAAATTTTGCCTCAGTCCAAGTGGTTGTGACTTCCACTCCAGAAACGGTCTTACCTACTCGCTCGTCAGGTTATCAATCCGTCGAAATAACGAATCAGTATTCTCAATTTTACTATTACACAAGATTACTGCGCATTCAACTCTCAGAGAAGGTAGAACTTAAAATGGTACCAGGGTATAAAAGTACTTTCCCCAAACTTTCAAATGTAATCCATAGTCTGTGAGTTTCAGTGTACTTGGATGGGAAATCAACCGAATGGAATGAACCGAATGCGTCCACTCTGCCAGAGGTAGGCTACGCCCTTCTTCTGGAATGAACCGAGTGTGGTCAACTATGTCAGAGTCAGGCTACATCGTACTTTATAAAGAGGCCTCTAAAAGCCCGACTGTTGTATTATTCTATTATTTTTACTCGGAATGGGTGCAAGTCATTGAGCAGTTTCTAAACCGCGAAATAGGTACATGACTCGTAAAAATTAACGGACACAATTGGCGCCTCAGAGAATCTGCATGGCGGAACGGTTATTGACCGAAAATAACCCAAGTACCGACTGGAATGACTGATTTGTCTTTGGCCAAGTAACCATCACCGTGAATTACCAACCTCCACATGAACCTTTTGGTCCACGTACAGACAGGATAGGTATGCACTATATCACCGTGTCAATATATCATTATACCAATATACACATGATAAAAGCCACTGGGCAATACACAAATATCGTTTCGCAGTTCGAAGTTTCATTTAGTTGCTGGCCACAGTGAATTAAATTATATAGATGCACAATCTTCCGGTCGCTGTATTCGGTTTTTCTAAGAAATATAACCTTATTCCTTTTGGCAGGAGACAATGAGTTCTTCTGACTGGCCGCATTGGAATAGTGGGTGATATGATCTGCGTTCACATGTTCCGGACGATCAGTGCTCGTTTTGCGGCTTGTTTCGAATGAATGAAAATGAGGCTTTTCGCTTACTTTAGCGAACTCACTCGGAGATAAATCTCTCAGCCACTTGTTGGTCTGTTGCCCGTTTCTACCTGGATGCTACTCCATAGACGTAAAGCGTTTCAACTCGAATACTACCGGGTTGTGCTACCACGGGAAATTTCTTGCGCAGAAGGAAATATATTCCCAACAATTTATTCTATCTTGCATTCGTTGCCAGCAGTATTTTGTTCAGATTCCGATTGTTGCCAAGTGAACAGCTTCGATGAAGCATCTTATCGATGAATCCAGGTTGTAGGTTTGTGCCCTCAGTTGTTCGTATCTTGGTCACCATCACCGATGTCAACATATCGTAGATAAGAAATTCAGATGAATTCCAGTCTCTCGTCAACACCAACCTAAGTTGCACATGTGTGCTCATTGCAACACATGTGTAATTCGTTGTATAGTTAGGATAAAAGACAATGGACGTTCATGGACCAGGTCACTTTGATGAACCCCAAGAAGGAGGAAACCGGCAGTGGACGTCCGGAGTTTCCACTTACTTTATGAGTAGTGGCCAGGGGGGTTTCAATTATTTGCGTTTTAACGGAGTAACAGTAATTGCCATGCCGTGTAGTCGAATGAAGTAGACGCGTTGATGTTGCCTCAAAAGGGAAACGAACCCTTCACCAGTTCTTTGAGAATTTGGACAACTCCTGATGCTGAGTAAGTCAGGACCAGAGCTATTTCTCCATCACAACAAATTCAGAGGTAAGTAGCAGATTTGATGGGAGAGCAGGCTGTGAACGCAAGGGTGGTTTGAGTGTGGATCCACTCCAAGTTGAGAGTAGCGGATGACAATGCGTTGCCACATATCACGTTGTGACGTACCACCAGAAATTCTGTCTCTGTTTCAGTCGGGAGAGTGAAGTCCGTGCAGGAATTCGATAGTTCTCAAATGTTCTTTTCTTAGTTTATTCATTCGTGGTGATTGTTTTTTTATCGGTTTTGGGTTGATTGATGCACGTTAACCAATTAAACTGATCCCTGTTCCTCAAGTCAATGTGATAAACGTCAATTGCCAAGCAGGACTATTGTTCACGCACATCATGTCACAACACTGCATTATTTGCTTTTAGAATCACCCTGTTTCTTCTAGTTTCTTATACAACATGGGGAAATTCGGCTAAGTGAATGGCTGAAACCTGAACAAACGTGGACTCAGTCTTTGAATCGGACTCTGCTCAATCGGGTTGTCGTGAACAAAGTGTTCAGGAAGAAGCATGAAGTGACAGTGAAATCGCCTTTAGTGGCTGATCAAAACAAGCAGCTGGTAAAGGGATTTTTCGCTAAATAAATCTAGTAAATCCTTTTGTTTTCCAACTCGCATGCTGTGTGATGCAAAAGTATACGCTTCTGAACGGCCTGAGGGCCAGTCGTAACTTGTGAACAGTGACTTATAAACTACTGGCAAACCCTACGAATTGGAGGCCAAGTTGTCAGCCATCAATTTGGGCAAAACTTACAAACTAGCACAGCCTGGATCCAGATCACAGGGTCCAAAGACGCAGGATTCAGCAATCTCGTGGCTTTTGAGAAAAAGACCGCTAAGTGCCGCGGTAGCTCGAGTACTGTAAACGTAAAAATAGCAACGCGCAGCCGGCGCAGGGATTGCAAGTACGGTGAAAAGAAAGCTGAAAAAGAAGCTGAACAGGTGTATGGGTGCTTACAACAACTGTTATGCACTGTAGAGTGGGTGAAACAGGGAAAGAAGGGGAAGAATCTTCGAATGAATCCGAAATAAATGGTGTCATGAGTAGTCCAAAACCATGGATCAAGGGAGGTGACCTGAATTGTCAGAAAAACCACACTCAGTTGGCGCTGACTAGATTAAAGGGCCCTACACCCAATAAGAACCTCCAGTTCTTATAGGACCACTGTGTTTTGGTCCCACGAACTTTATCATTAGACTGTTGCAACCGAAACATTTCGATCACCATACTTCTTAATAAGGACCACTTTTTCACAAGTCGGAAAATGCATTCAACTTTTGGCTACGTAGTTGACACCTATTTAACTATGATTTGGCGGGATATTTAAGAGATAAGTTCAGCTCTACTGAATTCAAACGCACGCACTACTGATACCATCTAAGTAGTTTGGCGACTGGGCTTTGCGTATGAATATGTGATCCTTTTTCTGGTGTGCAGTACGCCACACCGTGCAATGCATCATGAAGCGCAGGTCTAACAGTGGCTGGTCCACCTTTGCTAGCCAACTCTGAAATCACTGCAAAGTATTACGATCTCAGTCATTCGATAAAAGCTCACTTGTCTTTCCGGTTTTTTGTACTATCCCATCTTGGGTGCTAGGATGTTAATATCTCCCGAAGATGAAATAAATATGCCCAGAACAGACCACTTTGACAAGGTCTCAAGGTTGACCCCGGTTAAAGGATCACTGTGACGCATCTAAACAGAATCGAGCATTCGGAATTCCGTTGTCACTGAAGCAGATCTTTCCGGAATTTACTCAGTACCATTTACCGCATGTGTCAGACAACGTGACTATCACATACTTCCTATCATGGCGTGATATAGCCAGCCTAAATGTGTTGTTTGAGTTCCATAGAATGGAGGGATGTATAAACCGAAATCAAAGGTCATTCATCGGTTCCTTTACTTACATATCATCCACACGAAGTTGTCGCTTGCCGCTGGTCTTCTCCTGGAATGGATTGTTGCGAAAGTAGGAGAACGACCCGTGATTCAACACTGCTTGGCTGGAACACTGTGGGTGGACAGAAGCTACCTCGAGAAAAAAGTCTCACAAACTATTTGGCTTGGTCCTTTGTTGAAGAAATGGCAAGTATTCCCATCAAATTCCTACCCAAGAACTTGTCCCATATAAATGGAGTTTCTACAATAGCAGCGGCTGCCCAGAACTTGCATATTTGACTGCTTCGATTGATGTGGTGCCCCAAAGCGGACACTCATCAATCTGGCATGCCCCTTATCTCGCTACCAGGTTGTCTACGTACGCTAGTTTCACCACAGGTATCCAAAATGATCGGAAAAACACAGGACAAAGTCCCGTTGATCCATGTTGTGAATCTTTGGGGCAGTTTTCCACCACTCGATAGGAGTTCATGACTGAGCTGGATATCCGTTTACCAACAATGACTCAAGCAACTGTGGGCTCACGACTTGGGCAACATAACCCAACATCAGTTGTTATCCAAATGACATTGAAGGGATGTCGGTTTGAGCTGCTGCGAATCATTGTTTTTCTGGGAACGCATCTGTCACAGATCATCTCTTCTCCGGCATCCATAAAGGTATGTGTGAGTTGCATGGGAGCTGGTTCAAAATAGAAGAGATATCTCGAATATCGTGCCAACTGAATCATGAGGCAACCTGTGTGCAGCACATTCAGTTGTTGAATATCATAACGAAAGATTTAGTTGAGTCTCTCGTGAAAACCAAATTGATTTGCAAATGAGTGTGTTTCTCGAAAACAGTCCAATTTAGGTTCAAGTAGCAAATAAGTTTGACGGAAACTCGAGGACTGCGCCTACCTGATGAGCCCCAAGAAGGGCGAAACCGGTCGTGGGCTGTCGAAGAGTTTTCAGCAACCTTGTGAGTAGTTTCCTTTAAAAAGAGAATTTTCATTTTGATGGACAAATGTCACGTCTACAGGATCAGCGACTAGCTTGGAGGGCAAAGATGACTAAGCCATCCCTTCTAACCTTGTGAGAGTTTCCTTTAAAAAGAGAATTTTCATTTTGATGGACAAATGTCACGTCTACAGGATCAGCGACTAGCTTGGAGGGCAAAGATGACTAAGCCATCCCTTCTATCGCATGAAATGAAAGCTTTCAAGCTTTTCATGAGATGAACAAAGGCCAGTCTCGCAAAGAGCCCAGGCACTGGCTGATCACAAGAAAGAAACTATACATGCATTCGAACTCTGTTATGTTCTCAGGAGAGAAAACTGATTCATACACCTCCCGGCAAAATAAACAATGCACCTGGAGCCATTGTCCGGTGACCTGCATGTGTTATCGATAGCTTGCACACAAGAGGTCAACAATATGGAATTGAGGGCGTGTCAAGGTATTAATCTAGTCAAGAATGCCAGCTGAAACATTTTCAGAGCGCACACCCACAAGCTCAGTTGTGGTCTTGCTGTCTACACATACCTGTGAAAGAAGCAAGCCCACTGAGGAGGCAAACACGAAGACGAACAGACTGCACACGGGCAGCGCGCACACAAATTGGTTGTGCTTGTGAGCGTCCCCGCCTTTGCACACGAATGAGCATACGAAAGTAGCCACCCCCATCAGCTGCACACCATGCACATGGCACGCGCACGCACGTGGCATAATCGCGCCGCAGTGGTCCTATCTTATTAGGTCTCAAGCGACAACTTGTGAATGCCGTCTGAGACCAAGCTACCATTGTAGACTGACACACACACATGTGCGCATACGGAATAAGTCAATCACTGAGACATCATTGATCTATTCTCGGAGAGCAATGGTGCGCCAGACCACCACACTATAAAAGCAGGACCACGCACGCAGCAACCTGAACTGAGCCACACCTGTGTGCACAGATGTGAGCTCTTTTCCAACCATCGGTTTAGCTGACAACCTATGGTTTTGGCGGAATGTTCAGCAACCGAAAACCTGCGCTTTCTTTGGCGTCGCTTGTCTCAGAACAACGGATAATGGCATGATCTGGCTGCCCTTCAGTGAGTAGACTGATGTCTTTCCTTTGGTGTCAGTTTATTTTAAACGTACCCGCGTTTATGCTTTTGGACACCTTGTGATGCTCTGCTCACTATCTTTCTGAGTTTGACATCAAAACTCTCTATGTTAATGTTATCATTCACCAGGTGCCTTTCCACACATATCTCGTGTAAAGTATAGTGTTTTTATCCATATATTTGCATGTCCGAACACCAACCAAGGCCAACTACATATCAAGACTGTACAAAGTATATCTTACTGTATTAATGCGAAAGCATGACTACGTTACCATGTTGGTATTTTTAATTAATGCTGTGTTCTGCGTAATATTTCACCCCAAAACCAAGTTCCTGAGTACATCACGGCTGTGAAATTCTGTACAAAGTGTGCCTTTGATTATTCGTACTAATGTCATGTGCGTGTGAGTACATTTTATCCTTGTATTGTAAGTTTACCGCGTGTGTTTGCCGATTCTGTGGTTCTCCAGAATTACTGCACGATAAAGTCTTTCCATGAAACATGTGTATTTCTTTTAACTTGGGCAGAGTACAATTAGGCAAGGGATCACGAAAATGAAATAGCGTTTGCACACCACGAAGCTCAGAGTTTGTATGGTCCAACATGCCGATGTAGCATCTGTTAGGAGTAAATCAGAGTTCGATTGCTTCAGGTTTTGGTTGGCAAGGTAGCGCGTTGGATGGTGAGAAAAACTCATATGGGCGTTAAAACGTCTTTTTTTTCCGAGACCGCTCTTAATAGGACAGTTGGTCTGTTGGTCCAGAACAAGGCTTCATAATGGATTCTTTGAAACGCCCTGGTCAATGTGCGAGCCCGGTATAACGGAAACATCCACACAAAACCCATTTCTGTTCAGCGGAGCGAAGTGTATCTAAGTATCTATAAGATCCTGAGTGCTGATGGATATTAGCTACTCCGTTTGCAATCTGTGCCAGTTTCACACAAAATCTGTTGCGTTCAGCGCTGGAATCTACGGTTTCCTAACCCCTCTATACTATCCTAGGTTACTCTGTACCTACAGTCCGATTATTCTTCTTGATAATTTTTCTTAGTCGGTCTAACCAGAATCATGTGAACCCCAGTTACAATTCTACCCGGGATCCACTGAAATTACCGTCCAACACCGATAACATCAAGATGGAAGCACTGCAGAGGCAGCTGAGTTTATGGAGCATAAGCCGTCATAGTTTGACTGATCAAGCGAGGAAAAGCCTAGGACCACCAAGGGCTGGGACCAGAAGAGTTGTAATACCTTAGCGTTTGTTGGGTAGTCCGGTGACTTACAAGAAGGGTTCAAAACGCCAAGGGGATTAATGACGGAACCGGCACAGCAGAACCCAATAGTGACTCCGATTGTTGACATCGGTGGAGAACGCAGACCGGAATTGCTTTTGTTTGTAATAGGTTTCGAGGATAGTCCATGATGTAGTTGGATCGTATTCCCTAGGGCTGGTAACTCTTTCTTCGACCAAGGTGTCTACCGAGTTTGGTATTGCCCAACCTTACCTGAAAGTATCCGTATTTTGGGGAGAAAACGTCGTCGAAGCTTGTGGATACTAAGCATGTGGGGTTGGAGTGACAGACAGCATCAGATGCAATGTGTGCGCGAGATGAGGTTAAATCCACCACCACTTTCCAGGCTTCTTGTCGGTGTATCGAGTTTCCAAACAACCATTTTCCGTCACCGGCCGGGGCTAACTGGGGGGGGGGAGGCTAACTGTTAGAATGGGAGCAGTAAAATAGAGCAGGTTCGACAATATTTGGGTAATGAATTCTACTTATTCATATTTTTGCAGTGAAAACATGTGGAAGGTTTTAGTTCCCAAGAGCGTTGTATTTGACAGGATGTCCGGCCTTATATAAGATCTACTGACGCACCGCTAGAGAACACGAAGAAGTCCCACAGTAGAACAAAACTCGCCGGTGGTGGTATACCTTAGTTTGTTGTAGATGATCTCAAGTACGCTAGCCTAGGGTACAGTAGGGTTACAGTAGGTAGAGGGTGAATGCAAACCTGACCTACAAGACGTAACAATGATTAAAACGGGCAGAAATGTCAGAGTAAATGGGTATCACTGAAATGGGAATGTTGGAAGCCAACATCCTTTAGTTCCCTTTGAGAAAACTTTTCCCAAGAGCTTCGAAGGAAAAATGTAAACGCAGAGCTTGGTGAGTTACAGACCAAAGTACAGGTAGAGAATCCAAACAGAGAAACTGGATCCCCAACCAATTTCCTTTTAAATCATTTTCAAACCCTCTTTAAATCTCTAAAGGTAAAACGTCATAACATCTCGCGCGAGAAGTGTGTGATCCAACGACCTGGATTCAAAGAGCCCACAATATACGATTTCGAAGCTATA